GAGCGTCCGTCTGAACCAGATAAATAATGAGCGGATATGGCCAGAGAGATCAAGCCCTCCTCAGGAGACACGTCTGAGGACCTGAGCATCTGAAGACCAGAAAACACAATAAACGCTGTGATGCTCCTCAGGTTAAATATGTGGTTGTGGAGCTCAAACTCACCAAGATCTCAATCCAGAAGGTCCAGGCCGGAGCGTCGAGACCATGAGAGTAAAATATGAAACTCTCTCCGCTGCGGCGCAGCATCCCGCCGCCGAACGACCAGCCGCTCAGAGACGCTCCAGCGTGAGGACTCAGATACAGAGACATGTGACTCGGACCTGAGCGAGAACAACAGATGTTCAACACCATTAATAAACACAGAGAGTGCGCTTGTGACTCTGAACTAAACGAGTCAAACACACTGACTGGATATTACTGAATGCTGCTGATTACTTCATTCTCTTCTCTAAAACCAAGACAAATATTTGTGTAGACGGACAGACAGACAGACTGTGACAGTCTCATTCAGTTTGGACTTTGCTTCAGTTTGCATGCTTTCCTTAGTTGAGTTTTTCTCAGTGGAACCATCATTCAGTTCAGGTGTGTGCGATTGTGTGATCTTGTTTGTCTGTGTACTTAAGTTCCTTTGTTTTTGTTCTGTCTACTGTTGTGTTGGATTGCTGCTCTCTCTGTGTGTGGATTTATTAAAGAGTGCCTGCTAACCTTCATCTTTGTGTTCGTTTAAACAACACTAAGTGTGACACACAGACAGACAGACAGACAAATGCAACAAATTAATAAAATATGCTATATACAAACATTTGTATATACTGTATGCATATAAAAACAGTTTTTCAACATAATTATATTTTAAAAAATTACAATTATAAAACTAGTAAAAGTAAACTAGTAAATATTAGTCGTGTTTGTTATATATATATATAAATACAACTATAAAGCTAGTTAAAAAATGGTACTATTTGTAATATACTGAGGTTACGGTCTGGACTCGGAGGTGCCAGTTCTGGAATATAGCCATGACTTGTCTTCTGACACTAGAAACATAATCACTGTAATAATGATCCAATCATAGATTCTTAAGTGTTTGTCTTTTAAAATCCAAATGGTGACAGTTTTTTTTTTTTGGCCGGGCAGTGTATATATTTTTTAAATTGTTTACAATTTAATTAAAATCCAGCAGACATCATTCCCATTAGGATCATGATAAAATGAGGCTGGAGTCTCACCTTTGACCTCAAAGCTCATTTTAACAGTTCCCCATTGAGTCTGCTGTCTGGATAAGAGCTGGAACTCTATCGGAGCTTTAGGAGAGACTTCAGGAGCTGGAAGATACCAGCTCTTCCTGAAACAATGAGAGAAAGACGTCATCAGGTTCAATGGGTGGCTCAGTTGAGCTGAACATGTACATGAAGTTCATCATTCTCCGTCACGATACACTCATCTGACAGGAACTGGAGCGTGAAGAACCTTGGGAAGCCGTAGTAGGGCAGCCAGTCCTGACAGTGTGTGCTGATGCTGTCGTTGATCTGTGGGATGTGTGGAGTGATGTGCTGCATGCCGGTGTAATCCAGATCGCTGATACATAAGCCCGAGTCAGAGCTCTGCAGTGATCCGTTCAG